CCAAAAGGAAATTCCTGACACACAAAGTGTAGCAGTTCAAAAGGGAAAAAAAACCCGGAGGATGTGAAGAGAACCAACAGACACATGCAATTATGCATCTTTTAGATCGGAACGTGATAGACTTACATGGCCCCTGCTTTTTTAACTTCACGGGACCAACAGTGAGGTTAGCTGAGGCCTTCAAATCTTGCTAAAAGACATCTCAACAAGAGGATCCGATACGGCTCGATATTTCTTCCTTTTCTTTCTCACCTGAATTTAGAGGATGCAGAGTCTAAATTCCTCATGTTACTTCTTACAAGAACAGCATTCAAGGTGTTTGAAAGTGCAACATTAGGGACAGCTTGAGTTTCAAAGGAAACTTGAGTTTCAGTTTGATGGTAGTAACGGCTGTGACTCAAAACATACAAGTCAGACTTAAAAACCACACCTCAATCCAAAATACACCACATTATCTAGTCGAGCATTTGTTCATCAACTGGATTTCTGTTTCTTCTCAGCTCCCTCCTCCCCGTAAAACACAAAACCGAAAAAGTATTGTGTGAACAGGCGATCTGTCACTGATGTCAAGAGAAGGAGCTACAAGAGAACTTGAGTTTATGTTACTGTGGTTTGTGTTTACAGGAGTGGTAGAGTGAAAAAGAGGGATTTAAAATATGATTTTTTCTTGATTTTGCACAAAGTTCTTCTGTGTAGAAGAGAGGTATTACTTCTTGATGAGAATCCTGTATTTTATAGAAACTTCTGTTAAGAAGCTGCACATGAAAATGTTTTTTTTTTCATCTTTGATGTCCAATTGTGATTGTACATTTATCTGAATTTCAAGAGGAAGGTGGTAATCAAATATGAATGAATTTTGGCATTAAGATACAATTAGTCTCCATACAAACTGTTATTTCTGTTTTTTTTTTTTTTGTAATTGTATATATTAGACACATTTCTATAAGTAACCTTCAGGATGGGAATTCTCATCTGGAACTGAAGCACAGCTGAAAATAAGCCCATTTTCAGCTGGTTTCAACCTTCTGAGCAGTAACAATGGAAAGAGATGAATCCTCACCTGTCGCGGCTGCTCCGTCACTCGCTGTGGATCAGATCTCACTTTGTTACTAGGATGGTTGGTAACTTTGGTGACCGGTTGTTTGAAAATCGATGCGGTTTGCCTGATGGGTAAAGTTGTGTTTAAGTCTGGTTTTCCCTGTTGAAAAAAAAGAAAAAAGTGAATTAACACAAATGATACAGAAAAATTACAATAATTCATGTTGGATTTACCGTCTTCTACTGATGTGCAAAAGGATGATTTTTTTGGAGTAAAGATTTCCCTTAAACACTGTACTTAACTAACCTTCGAAGTCATCCATTTTAGTAACACATTTTCACCTTCTTGGGAAGACTCAAACTGCTTGAAAGTCCACCTTTTCTCTTGTTAAAATATCTAATTAATTGTGCGAGTGATTTACGTGCTGCAAAGAGACAGCTTCACCATCAGATGCCAAAATGAAACCTCCAAATCTTCATGAAAATATATTTGTAACAGTTTCTAAAGAGTTCCAAGTCTTAGAGAAAAGCAACTTCCTACGTAACTTTGGTCACAAACTCCCTAAGCAATTCCTACATCGAACGATTCTTAATTAAGTGCAGTTATTTATTCTGATAGCATTTGATACTGTCCCACACAACATCC